TTTTTTTAAAAAAACTAAACATTTAACACGGTCCAAATAATGCATCGTCTTGTAAAGTTGCATTAAATTTTGGCCATGCATAATATCCCAAACCGGCAAATACCACCTCTGGTTGGCCACAGAGTGGGGTGGGAATGGAGATTTTGCAGTATCCTTCCCTCAGGAGTGTGGAGAGAATGTGGATTTTGCAATATCCTTCCCCTGGAGTGGGGAGGGAATGTGGATTTTGCAGTATCCTTCCCTCAGGAGTGTGGAGAGAATGTGGATTTTGCAATATCCTTCCCCTGGAGTGGGGAGGGAATGTGGATTTCGAAATATCCTTCCCCTGGAGTGGGGAGGGAATGGAGATTTTGCAGTATCCTTGCCCTGCCACGCCCACCAAGCCATGCCCACAGAACGGGTAGTAAAAAAAAATGAATTTCACCACTGTACGAAAGGCCTATGCAAGGTCCCTGCTTGAGTGATCCAATTTGTGCCCTTCCTCATTCATTCCAAAGGGATCAACTGCAACTCCCAATGAAGGAGGATCTTGTTTTGGTTTTATCCTTGAGAGGCCCTTGAAAGGTCAGCTGTTTTCTCACTAGCCTCACTTAGAGCAGAGGGGCCTGGGATCAAATTCAGTACAAAACAAGCTTGATAATCAGGAACACTTTATTTGGTCAGAGGGGATGGGGTCAAGCTATTCTCCAAAGCACCTGAAGGCCAGACAAGGAACAATGGATGGAAACCAACATAGATCTAAGGAATAATTTCCTGACAGTGGTGGAACAGAAGTTGTGGGAGCTTCATCACTGGAGGCTTTCAAGAAGAGATTAGACTGCCATCTGTCAGAAATGGTATAGGGTTTCCTGCTTGGGCAGAAGGGTTGGACTAGATGACCTGTAAGGTCCCTTCCAACTCTGTTAATCTGTTATCTGTTATTGGAACACTGCTATCCTGTCTCCCCTTGTCCATCTCGTCACTAGATTAGCCATGCCCAGTTTCTGCAACCCTTCTTCATATGTTTTAGCCTTCAGTCCCCTAATCATCTTTATTGCTCTTCTCTGCCCTTTTTCTAAAGTCTCAACATCTTTTTTTAATCAAGGAGACAAGCAACCTGGAAATAAGGAGAAATTTTCTGAGAGCAATCAACCAACGGAACAGAAGTTGCCTTCAGAAGTTGCCTTCAGAAGTTGTGGGAACTTCATCACTGCAAGCTTTCAAGAAGAGACTGGACTGCCATTTGTCAGAAATGGTGTACGGTCTCCTGCTTGGGTGGGTTGGACTAGATGACTTACAAGGTCTCTCCCAACTCTTGTTAATCTGTGTAATCTGATAATCAGGAACACTTTCTTTAGTCCCAAATTTGTTTTCAGACTTTCCGGTGCTATATGTAAATACAGCAATAGTGCCATCTGCTGATAGTTGAAGTTACTTTCTAGTACACAGAACATAGAATATAGGTAGCCCTCGACTTACAACCACAATTGAGCCCATCATTTCTGTTGTTAAGGGAGGGCATTTGTTAAGGGAGTTCTGCTCCATTTTATGACATTTCTTGCCCCAGCTGTTAAGCGAATCACTGCAGGTGATAAGTTAGTAACCCAGTTGTTAAGCGAATCTGGCTTCCCCGTTGACTTTGCTCGACGGAAGGTCACAAAAGGGGATTCCATGATCCCCCTGGGACACTGCAACCGTCATAAATCTGAACCAGTTGCCAAACATGCAAATTTTGATTATATGACCATGGGGATGCTGCAATGCCCATGAGTCCCTTTCTTCAGTGCCATTGTAACTTTGAACGGTCTTTGAACAGCTTCACTTGTAAGCCTCCAGAATCAGAAGTACGGCCCAACATGCAAACCGGAAGTCGGAAAATGGGCCGATTCTGGCCTCTGGAGGGCGAAGGAGGCCGTTTTCGCTCTCCCTAGGCTCCTAGAAAGTCTCTTTCTGGTCCACCGTGCCATCGTGCGCCAAAAGCAAGGGGGCGGAGTTGAAGTCGCGTGAGCATGCTGGCTGCGATGGGTGTTAGTGTGAGAACTGTCACTTTTTCAAGTCATTTGACTTGACATTTCAAGTCATTCTTTGAATGCTGTTGTAAATTCGAACAGTTGTTAATCAAGTGGTTGTAAGTAGAGAACCATCTATACTTAACCCATTATCAAGATAGTTAAAGGAAAACCAAATATGTGCTAAACGCTAATTCAAATACTTGCATTAGACAAAGTTGCAACAGAGAATTAGAGATAGGTTGACCGACATCCACAATTAAGTCCCAAATTTCCGTTGCTAAGCAAGATAGGTGTTGAGTTTTGCCCCATTTTATGACTTTTCTTGACACGGTTGTTAAGTGAATCACTGCAGTTGTTAAGTTGGTAACTTGGTTGTTAAGTGAATCTGGCTTCCCCATTGACTTTGCTGATCAAACTATAGGACACTGCAACTGTGATACATGCGTGCCAGTTGCCAAGTGTCTGAATTTTGATTATGTGACCATGGGAATGTTGCAATGGTTATAAGTGTGAAAAAAATCCCTTTTTTCAGTGCAGTTGTACCTTCTAGCAGTCACTAACCAAATGGTTGTAATTTGAGGACTATGTATACCAAGATGTAAAAACCTTTCTGATCTGCTAGATGTCTTTGTGGCTAAACTTTGATTTCTCTATTTTGGAAACTTTATGCAAGTTCTCACTTGCAGGCTAAAAATATATGGTCCTACCACAGGTTTTGCTACTTCTGTTAGGACTCAAACTCTTTTCAGAATAACCGGGACACATTCTTCTCCAGTAATGGAACACAACGCCTACCAAAAGCTCTTGAGATCTTTCAAATCCATCTCACTTTGAACTCCCTGTGTTCAGAGCTGAAACTGCACACCAATTTGTACCACTCAGGTGACCTGAGAACACAGATAAACCTCCAGGTGACCTTAACAACCCGCTAAAAGAATGCAACCAGCTGTCACAAGAAATGTAAATCCTTCCATTCCCCAGCTGGTCAGAGCTGAAGAAGCTTCTTGGAAGGAGAAGTGAAACGCCTTCAAAGAAAAACCAGAAAGTCCAGTTGCCTCTTGAAAAAAGCACTTTTGGGACAACCATGGCCCGAATGACTGAGAATCCCCATAGATAATTGGCCAAGTAGACCTAGAGGCTTCTCAGACCTTTCCCAAGATGTACCACCTTTCTAGGAGGAAGACATTTTGGAACAGCCCACCTTTGCAATGGAGAAGGCGGCCATATTGGTTTCACTTCCAAGTATCCCAAATACCAAACGATAAAGTTAGGAAAGCTTACTCTGGGCCATATAACCTCTTCAAATCTTCCTTCAGGCTCTTGTTTTCCTCTCTCAGCTTATTCAGTTCATTAGCTGGAATGGAAAGAAAGAGAAAAATGTTGGATTAGTTCAATTTTCCCCAGCCGTCCAGATCAAGGGTTACCAACCTTTCCATTAAATCACCATTCCACTAAATCCACCAACCAGGGACCACTAAATTCATAATTTTAAATCCTGTGGACCACTAATATGAATCAGTGACAGGATGGGGTCCTTCAGGCACTTAGCTTGACCTCCTGTTAGCGGAGAGAAGTGCCTGGGGTTAACCCTAGGTTTGCTGTTCATGGCCTCTAGGAATCTCAAATACAGCCAAGAATGAATCTTTCTCTTATAGCCAGTCCGGCCGCTAAATCTCCCCCCTGCAAACTCTGCCTTTCAAGGAGCCCGGCTGAAGTTTCGTGCACTGCTCACTAAAGCGCCTGGATTCGCGGGGAGGGGCTAGAGCTGCTAAACAGGCAGCCAAGCTAAGTGCCTGAAGGACCCCATCCCTTCAGCAAGCAGGAGTAATTGCTTCGGCGCGCTGTATTTGGCCCAGGGGCCATAGTTTGAGGGTCCCTGATTTAGTGCAATACAAAAAAATGCAAAGATTTTTCTGTGGCCCGCCAACATTTTCTCGCGGATCACCAGTGGTCCACAGACCACCAGTTCTTGACTGCCAGCCCAGATGTTCTGGGACTTAATGGCTGAGATGGGGGTCAAGATTATAGACAGAAAGAAGAGAACACGTATGTCACAGACCTAGGGTTACCAGGTATCTAAACAGCAAAAGGAGGACATGGACAATTAGAAAGGTGGGCACACCAACTACCTAACATTCTTTCATCCATCACACAATGAAAAACTACCAAACCACACCCCCAGGTCTACATGTATAGCAATAGCAGTTAAGATTTATATACCGCTTTATAGTGCTTTACAGCCCTCTCTAAGCGGTTTACAGAGTCACCAACAATCTGGCTCCTCATTTTACCCACCTTGGAAGGATGGAAGGCCAAGTCAACCTTGAGCCGGTCAGAATCGAACTGCCGAATTGCTGGCAGATGGCAGTCAACAGAATGAGCCTGCAATACTGCATTCTAACCGCTGCGCCACCATGACTCCAATATAAGAAATGGCATTTTCCAGCATCAGAAAAAAAACTGGTTTCTGATACTAAATATATTGTATAAAGTTTGCAACTTTGAATTTTTTTCAACCCGAGGATCTCCCATATTTTGACTCATTTGGCTTATTCTAGGAATCTCTTTCTTAGCGGAACTCACTTAGGATGAAGATGTGTTGAAGACCTTGAAAATGGGCCTTCATAAACTCATGTTGCTTCTTCTTTGCAACTTCTTGGGTCACTTGGCATCTGTCGCAGAGCCCAGCTCGCAACCTTCAAATAATTAAAATAGCAGGGTGGTGTTTTTAGAGTAGCAAACCCAACTGGGAGGAGACGTACCGCACCAACACCAAGTGTCAGAACTTCAAGGTAGACCAGACTTGGAAACCAAAGTCATAATTTTTTTATTGTAAGCTTACCATAACAGAAATCTTGCAAATCTGAATGCCCTCCCTCCCTCCCTCCATTTGTCTTTGTGAAAACCAGGGAGACGCTTTTTCAAATTACATTTCTGCCTCAGACCCAAATTTCTGTTCTCTGACCATCTTGGCAGTGATTCTTCCTTCTTTTCCCCAAGAATATTTGAGGTAGTTGCTCTACCCGACTCCATTGTTACAGCCTCAACCCCCCCCCCCACAGCTTCCATCTCAAACTGTCCACTGTGGACCTCCCCCCCCCCATTCTTAAGAGGTCCCTAAAGGGGGCAAGCATAAGCGCACCAGCATGCCTACCGTCCCTGTCTTATTGTCTTACTTATCGTCCCTATCACCCATCTCCTCCCACTTATGACTGCAGGACTGTAACTTTGTCCCTTGTATCCTTACGATTCATATTGATATTGATTGTTTCCTGATTGCTTATTTNGCATGCGCAGAAGCAATTTTTTACTTCTGTGCATGTGTGCGTAGCGCACATCAAGCGCTTGAAAATCAGGCATGTGCCCATGAGTGCATCCCTGAGCAAACTGGCAGTAAAAGAAGCCAGAACCCACCCCTGAGACTACATCTATCTCTCCAGTTGAAAACAACAGGGCATGATTTTCCCCAGAATTTCCTGATGAAGAGACTTAAATCTGGGCTCCCTGACGTGCAAAACAGGGAACTAGATATCCTAAAGTAGCATCTCTCTGCTGCTGGAGGTTCTGCTAGGTTCCTGATCTAGAATGGATTGAAGAACCAACTGGGCCCAGTTGCAGGAGAACGTGCCTCCTTCCAGCGGCTCGGGATACTCGTCTTCTGTTTCTGGGCTCACGTTTTTCCCGACACTTGGTTTCCTGCTTCGGCTGGAGAGGAGAGACAAAGACACGCCTGGGATGAAGTTTCCTTCTCTGGGCTGCCCTTTCAAAGTTTTCGGCCTGTCCCTGTTGCCACACAAAGGAAACAAAACGAAAACAAAGATGAAACAAGAGAGGGTTTAAAGGCACCTGTCTGAATGGCTTGCATGGGCTTTTATAAAAAGCCCATGCGAAACATGGGGGAAACAAAATCAGAAGCCAGGCATTTTTGGCACTGGGCGATTTGAGAACAAAGAAGACGGGGTCAACGTATTTTCCAAAGCCCCAGAAGGCAAGGCAAGAAACAATGGATGGGAACTAATCAAGGAGAGAAGCAACTTGGAATTAAGGAGAAACTTCCTAACAGTGAGGACCATGAACCAGTGGAAGAGTTTGTCATCCGAAGTTGTGGGTGCGCCATCACTGGAGGTTTTAAGAAGAGACTTTTATGAAATGGTATAGGGTCTCCTGCTTGAGCAGAGGGTTGGACTAAAAGACCTCCCAGGACCCTTCCAGCTCCATTCTGATTGATTGATTGCATGCAGTAAAAAGTCAATGGGGAAAAGAGATTCACTTTAAAACCGTGTTACTGATTTCACAATTGCAGTGGTTCGCTTAACCAGTGTGGCAAGACAAGTTGTAAAATAGGGTAAAAATCACTTAAAAACTGTCTTGCTTAGCAATCAATCAGAATGGAGCTGGAAGGGTCCTGGGAGGTCTTTTAGTCCAACCCTCTGCT